GACACCTTTTCACCTCAAATCGATGCACCCATCACTGAGAAATCGGCTCACAAGGCTCGAAACAGCGCTTTTCCCCGGAAAACCTATCACGATTCGACCAGTGACCGATTCCAACAAAACCAACACTGGTTCAAAGTAGATCTCAACGAGCTCTATCGAATGGACACCTTTTGAGCTCAAATCGATGCACCCATCACTGAGAAATCAGCCAATAGGCCCCAGAACAGGGCTTTTTCCTGGGAAAACTGTCACGATTCGATCAGTGGCCCATTCCAACAAACCTAACGCTGCTTCCAAGTAGATTTCAATGAGCTCTATCGAATGGACACCTTTTGAGCTCAAATCGATGCACCCACCGCTGAGAAATCAGCCAATAGGCCTCCGTACACGGCTTTTCTACTGGAAAACCTATCACGATTCGACCAGTGACCGATTCCAACAAAACCAACACAGGTTCCAAGTAGATCTCAACGAGCTCTATCGAATGGATACCTTTTGAGCTTAAACCGATGCACCTATCGCTGAGAAAGGAGAAAAGCCCTATTCTGAGGCCTATTGGCTGATTTCTCAGCGATACGTGCATCGATTTATGCTCAAAAGGTGTCCATTCGATAGAGCTCATCAAGATCTACTTGGAACCAGCGTTAGTTTTGTTGGAATCGGTCAGTGGTCGAATCATGACAGGTTTTCCAGTAAAAAATCCCTGGTTTTTGGCCTATTGGCTAATTTCTCAGTGATGGGTGCATCTATTTGAGCTCAAAAGGTGTCCATTCGATAGAGCTCATTGAGAACTACTTGGAACCAGTGTTGGTTTTGTTGGAATCGGTCACTGGGCGAATCGTGGTAGATTTTCCAGTAGAAAATCCGTGGACGGAGGCCTATTGGCTGATTTCTCAGCGGTGGGTGCATCGATTTGAGCTCAAAAGGTGTCCATTCGATTGAGCTCATTGAAATCTACTTGGAAGCAGCGTTAGGTTTGTTGGAATCGGCCACTGATCGAATCGTGACAGTTTTCCCAGGAAAAAGCCCTGTTCTGGGGCCTATTGGCTGATTTCTCAGTGATGAGTGCATCGATTTGAGCTCAAAAGGTGTCCATTCGATAGAGCTCGTTGAGATCTACTTGGAACCAGTGTTGGTTTTGTTGGAATCGGTCACTGGGCGAATCGTGATAGGTTTTCCAGGGAAAAGCGCTGTTTCGGGCCTTGTGGGCCGATTTCTCAGTGATGGATGCATCGATTTGAGGTGAAAAGGTGTCCTTTGGATAGAGCGTGTCGAGATCTACTTGGAACCAGTGTTGGTTTTGTTGGAATCGGTCTCTGAGCGAATCGCGAGTGGTTTTGCTGTCGTTGTATGGTTTTTTCTTGTTTGTTTTGCGGAAAAAACGGGTTTTGACCAGTAAGGATTGTTGGTTTTCGAAAAAGAACCAGTGCGTTGGATAGAGCTCATCGAGGTCTACTTGGAACCAGTGTGAACTCAGTTGAAATCGGGCGTGTCGCGAATCACGACAGGAAATACTCGAATCCTGACCTAGGATATCCTACGTATCATATTTATAGATTTACGGGAACTGAAGTTCTTTCGGGAATCACACATTTCTGGTGTGGATGCGGATATCAGTCACTTTTCATCCACACATCCATATTCTTATGCTTTAATTAAAAGAATCGTAATTCACAGATGAGATAATATTTTCTGTTTGACCTTCGAAATTTCATATATCTGAATATTATCATTATTTGATGTATGAGTCATCATCTTTTATTCTTTAGACTTCTGCAGAGAGTTGTTAAAAAAAAGAAATGTTTCATCACGTGAAAGAAGGGCAAGACTCGTTCTGTTTGCTTTTGTAAGATGAGAAAGTTGTTTTCAATAAGCATTACATAGCAGCCACGGTTACATCAAAAACAAGAATGGCAACTGGCAATAAACACACTACCGACGATTACAATGCATTAGAAAGTCTTGTTAAATGTGCCATGTGTTTGGATTATTACAAAGATCCTCGTGTACTTTCATGTTCCCATACATTCTGTTATGGATGCCTGATAAATTTGTGTCGAGGAGACATTGCCTATTGTCCAATGCGCGACAAAACAATAATCAATTCTTCCATTATCGACCGATTACCAGTAAATCGAATAGCTAAAGACTTGGTTGAACATATACAGCAATCAGAATATAAGTCTTCTACGATGGCAGTAGCAAAGTGTGAGAATTGTCAACATATGTCATCCGACTATGTTTGCAAAACGTGCTCAAAATCCTACTGTACACTATGTCTGAAAGAAGGACATGGCCTAGAAGAATTTGAAACACACAAAATCCAAGTTCTTATCAATGATCAGTTGAATATTCAATGTTCTGAACATGAAGATGAAAAACTAAAATATTGGTGCATTGATTGTGAGAAATTAGTCTGTAGTGACTGTCTTGTCTATGAGCACAAACAGCATACATTCGTTACTTTAAATGACATGGCTCAAGAAGCAAAAACAAAATTCAATTCATCAATGCAGCGATTGTTATCAATGAAAGAGAAATTAGAAACGTTACTCGAAATGACACAAATGGCTTATCAAAAACATCAACAAACATGTGTTCAATCAAAGACTGATATCGAAAAAATAATGTTAAACTTTCAAAAACTTATCGAAACACAAAAGAAACAATTGATCACTAAAATAGACAGTAATAACGCTCACTATGAACCAATTATTAAGCAACAACAGGAAGATATTGATGAACAGCTTAAAACTGTTTTAATTAGAATATTATTGACAAAACAAATGTGTAATACATCAAATCTTCATCAAATTATCAAAATGAAAGGTGATTTGATTACTTACAATGAGCTAATCGAAGAACAATATGAGCAATTAATGGAAGGGTGTATGTTCGACATCATGCATTTTGTTCCCGACGAGAATCTATCGCAAATCAAACAATCATTAGAAAAATTAGGCAACATATCAGTAGAGTCCTTTTTGACCGATAGAAGCCACATTCAACCGTTGCTAAAAATCTTTGATGCATGTGATGATGACTACTATATTGCGTTGGACGGCACCCATGCTTATGGTTATCATTTTTATTTAACAACACCACTGAAATTTCAAGCTGTACGTGTTAAGTCGAAACTTGTGGATAATGATCTTAGTATTTACATCTTAAATTCCAATAGTATTTTAATTAAGACAGAAACAATTCATGTAAACGATCGAAATACAGAAACATTCAAATGGTTTGCTATCCCGATTACTTGTGAGATTGAAAACAATTATTCGATTTTGGTTTGGGCAAAATCTAATGAACAAGAAACACCATTATTGATCGCCAGTAATTTTGAGGATCATAATTTACGCCGAATTAATCAGAATGTATCTGTTCGCAATGAACATGCTCTCATTGACACATCGCAGAGTATTGAAATCGGTATGAAGCTTAATGTGGTCTATGATGCCCTTTCAAACAATGATTCTGATCTTACAGAAACAGTACCATGTATCAATATGATTTTAGATATATAGACGATTTTTCTTTAAGAAAGACTTTGGACTTTGTATATGGTTTGATAGCAGTATTTCCATTTTGCATCGATGCAGTGTTGTTATACTCATTTCTTAAAGACAATGTTGAACATTCAGAAAAACGAGCGTTTGTTTCTTTTTCTAAAAAAAAAAGATCATTTACAAATATAGACTGTTCTTTTTTTATGATATGTTTATCTTAATGAAGTTTTTATTCTCTGCACACTCATCAAAACAAACACACTCGTACCCTAAATCGATTACCGTAGTGCAGTAAACAATGACAATTTTCGGTTCGTATGAAATTAATTCCATCTCATAGGATACCTTGTTCTAGGTAGCGAGCCAGATGTTTATCTCTTGTACAAGTGGTTCATCACAGACCTGAAGGATGTCCTTAGAAATGTCTCTTCTTCATCACAGATCGTGGTAGACATAACCATAGAAACGTCACAGATCACATATCAATAACATCTACGTAATTATAATATATGAGCTACTTCCTTCTCGCATTTCCATCGAATTAACTAAAAGAATGATGAAGAAATATGTCCCAAAATATGTAAGAAATAATAATCTCCCTGTGATTAGCAGCAACATCATACTTCATATTTTAATCTCGCATGAATTTTGCTAATAGCTTTTTAAACACGACTGAACCTGAGAAGTGTTTCGTTGCAGAAGTAAAACTTTGAAATTTCTCATTGAATAGAGTCATCGTAACTTGCAACGGCTAGATCTTTTATATGATTTCTTTATTATCTATAATTTTTCTCGTTTTAATAAAATAGTATTAGAAAAAAAACGATCAAATCTAAATAAATCTTTGCAAAGAAAAAATAAATATAAAACATTTAGTTTCTAGAATTAAGCATACAGACGAAAACCAATACAACTCATTATCAACCACATTCAGACGCATAACTAACAAAAACAAACTATAGTTTATATGAAAACTTATTGACAATTATCTCAGAGAAACTGTTCACAAAGTTTAGAAAATAAAAAAAAAGGATTAAATATTTAAAAGTCTTTTTCCAATATCATCATCATCATTTATCATTGATGAATCCCAATCTTCAGAATTTTCAATTAAGAAACCAATTGATTCATCTAGATTAAATAAACAACTTTAGACAAAAAGGAAAATTCGATTATAAATTTCATACTTTTCGTTTCTGAATTCACACTATTCAAATTTATATGTACTAAACAAAAATAAAATTTAGTATATGATTATTCTTCTCAAAATTGTTGATCAATTTGATTATCTTCTGTTGAAACCTTTGATTTGATTGTTTCACTAAACATTATAATTCGAGTTATATATTTTCCATTTTGTAAGTCAACTTTACAATAATTTTGTAAATGTCGATAAAGATTTACTGAACAAGGACAAGCATTAAACATTTATATGGTACGATATCAATTTCATCGGCTGCTGTTGTATTCGTTAATCTCAGTTGTTTATTATTATTGAGCATAAGATCGTTTATTGCCATTGTTTTTGTATATTAATTCGAATAGAACGTATTAGACGAAGTGCAAGTTCATCACTCATTTCATGATAGTGTCTATAAAGAGGTGTTGATTAAGAATATTGATATCTTTTTTTTTGAATGAAATAGGTCGCTCATGAAGCCATGTTGATAGGTATTAATGTAATTTTTTTCTTATGCAATGGTTTGTATACAGATATCATTTGAAAAAAATTTATTTATTGTAAATTTTATACTAACAAGTTCAGATAGATATCATGCTCAGCTAGATATTCACCTGTCTTCCATGAGGTACGAGTATACAGTATGTATCAACCAACTATTTTTTTTTATTCGATGCGTTTTTTTTTGTTTATCTTAGAAGACTTTTAGTTGAAGTTCTCGGACGAATTTGTATTTTGAATCTACGATTTTAGCTGTAAGAAGAGAAAAATGAATATGTATTTCTGAAAAACAATAAATTCAGTCGAGTTTTTGAGAGGACGGAATTTCAGATAGGGATCGAGTCTACCTCATTAGTCGCCATAAAAAGCCTTATTTCTATGAGTGATTGGTACACTTCATAGTGCTCAACAGTATATCGTTCTGTTGGGTACGAAGCCATTCCTCTAGTCATTATAGTGGCTGAGATCTGATGAGAGGAAGACTTTTTGTTCAGGGCTGTTTCTTACGTTTCATAAAAAAGATTCAATTTTTAGATAATCATTCATCAAAGATTCATTCAACAACAGCATATTGTTAATTATATGTTAATCATAGGCTTTATTTGGATAATCATTTAAATAGTAGTCGTGGTCAGAAAGGTGTAGAATGAATTTCTGTTCAAATAAAATATCATTCAAACTTTGGATAATATATTAAAAAGCTTGTTGGGCAGATATGGAATATTCTTATGAAAGGTATATCCGAGCCTATTAAAAGGATTCGACCCTCTTAGACAAGGCTCTTAAGAGAATGCTTTAAAATACGTAAGATATTTCAAAAACGCAAAATGGGTAGTTGATGCATTTGACGTCTATGTTTTCTTACAAAATATTAAAATTCTTTGTTGTTCGAGTTTGCATGAATAAGTGACGAAAGTTGTGGGTATTTCTACAGAATATGCACCGTTCTCACTCACAAAGTGATATTCGTGTGCAATGGAATGTGCATGTTGATAAGAGTCTTGCGTATGGTGTAGAAGTACGAAGCGGTGGAAGATTATATGACTAAATAATACAATGACAAAGTAGCTACACTTCTGAAGGACTTTGTAAACAAAAAAAAAGTTTGTTTTTACCGAATAGGGAACTCTATCCATATACTGCGCATTAGATGATATTATCGACGAATTACATTGCATAGTAACTTTTTCTTTTCGATGAGTCATACGAGAGTTGTACAACGTATTCGAAATAACATTTTCCACTAAGACAAGCGAAGAAAAATGTAAATTCATTATGGAGAGATCGAAATAAACAAATCATGCTTTTGCGAGTTTTTTACCTTGGTTCTGAATAATTTTGATTATTTATTGCATCATCATCCTAAGGAAATATTTTAAGTCGGCAAAAGTGATTTAAATGATTCAGTCGTTTATAAACATGTTGAATAATGTATTTTTCGTTTTTCTCCTCAGTTCTGATCAGTTTTATTTTTTTCATCCGTATTATTTCAATTAACTATCTCGTTCGTTTTCATGATTCGCTCAATCAGTCATATATTCATTTATTTATTTATTATAAGCATGACTTAACTCTATAACCATGTCGGTCCTAAAAAGACAATAGAGTTCAATGTCATTTGTACCATTAATTAAATTAAATGAACAACGATAAGAGGCAAAAGATCAAATACAGTAAGCAACAGACAAACCAGAATCATAAAAAAAGAACTATATAGAACAGAGGGTGTAGAGTGTGGGTGGAATCTTCTCTTCATTCACACCCACACTCACAACTTATATAGACTGGAACCTGATACTCATAATACTTAACCGTTCGCTCAGTCATCAATGAGAACATGATTTCTAAAACTTGAAAAACTCAGAAGGTGTTGTGCTACTTCTTGTTTTTCTTCACAACAACTATTTGTTTAATATTGTAGAAAAATTGTATATTCATTTTTGATGCTCAACAACGTATCGTACATACATAGTGTCTATTTAATCGTGATATCACAATGTTGCCATCATTCTTTTTCATTGCTTAACTTCCTGTGAGGATAGGGGCGAAGCCCAGGATAGCTGAAGGGGACTGAGCTCCGCCAGCGGAAAATTATCGAGTCTAATTGTCTTGCTAAGAAACGTAAGAAAACAAGCAGAGCGTAAATGAGCATGATTATTCTTCACTATTTGATAGTACTCAGAGACATATGTTTTAGTGGCAGGAGCAGGAAATGTTTGTAGAGGACTCGGTCTTATTAATATTGATATTAATAAATTTAAAAAATATTAAAGTTGGAAATAGTACTTTTCAAAAGAATTTACTGTAACAATAATCAATGATGAAGTTGAACAAAAAGAATACTCTACGAGATTGCATGCAAACATTATCGTGAGAAAATATTGAAAAAAACATGGAAAATATGTCAAACTTTTCAAAGGTTCTTTATGTTCACATATTTTTATCGTGTGATGATCGTCATACTACTTATTAATTATATTCAAGAATTCTAATTCTAATTGCGCATGTTAAAAGTGATATAATTGTGCATAGATCATTTGGATTATAACATGTAGTTTTTGGAAAACTATAGTGCTTATCCTTCTGTTAAATAATACATCACACAAAAAAGGACAAACAAAAGAAGCAAATCATATCATGTCAACCAAGCTTGGAGCGAAATTCAGCCATGGAGAAGTTGGGATCAATCTTGCGACCTTTAGGGACCGCCGCCTCCTTGTGTCCCAAGACACGAGCAGTGGACACACCGTAAGCTTTTTGAAGAGCTTTCACACCTTTCACGTAACTCTGGTACTGCACTTCTGGCCAGTGCGCATGTCCGCTATCGGTAGCTGGTAAACCAGTTCCTTCGGCTTCGATTCCGATTGCGTTACTGTTGCCATAGATGGAGTCATCTATGGTGCTGCCGGCATGATAAGAACGACCTGCTGCAATGACAAACCAAGTTCCAGTACGGCCCAATCCGAGCTGTGAAAGCGGACCAGCAAGACTAGAAGTACCGTCTCGAACGACCGCTAATGAGGGAAAATCGCCTGTCGCTGGACCTGCTGTATGATGAACAATAATACCCTTTACTGAACTCATCACACCATGTCCACGAGTCTTCCAGCCAGCAACTTCAGCAACGTTGAGACCAGCACCTCGAAGTATATCAGCCAAACCTGTAAGCATCGTGTTAATTGGCTTACTAGTGCCAGGACCAGTTGGAGTGGAACCTCCTCCCTTGCAGCATTGTATATTCCCAGCGCCAGGGCAAATACCCGCATGAGGTGTTCCACCACCAGCTCTACAGGCTGCTGCGTCCTTACATGTTGTACTAAAAGAATATGGTTAAGTCTCAATAGCAGCGATGATAAACAGCTTACCAGCTACAGCATTGAATGTTGGCGACACCAGGACATAGACCTACTTGAGTTTTGCCACCCTTACTAGCGCAGACATTCTTATCGATGCAAGCGTTTGTAGACCAGCATCCTGCGCCAGAAGTTACTCGCAAGTGAATACTGGCGAGACAAAACATCGCAGTTAAAACAGTGATACTAAACATCTTATAATCACTGCTAGAAGTAAACGATGAAAATTGAGTAGCGTCGACCTAAGGAAATAAAAACAAAACGTTTTTGGAATTAATTAAGTAAGTGGTAAGATGTATGAAAGTATAATGTTTGAGTGAAAATACTTACTTTGATTTTTGAGATACACTTACGACACACCAGCCATCTTATATATACATTTTGATAAAAAAATAATAAGGGATTAAATGTTGATACCATTGAAAAACAATCTGATCAAAGGAAGCAGCGTTGTCGAGGCAGTAGCGCTGGCATTTTTCGTATCAAGTTCGTTTTTCATTGGTAGCGCAAAAATTGCTTCATAAGAGGAGGATTAGTCAAGCAGATAGTGCCACTTCTACATCTTCAATTATCGATTGAGGATGTGGGTGTGGGTCTCTAACGTATGTTACACACACACACCAACACCCACACCCTTCTCTTCTATATTATACTTGATCTTGCAACTCATGTTTAATTATTAAATAACTGTTTCAATAAATGATTATTGGATTCAGATGTCTGCGAAGTAGTAAACTACACATAGTGTCTGAATTCGTAAGAATGTAGGTCTACAGTTCACTACTGCTAAATATGTGGTTCTATAGGTGATCGTTCCTGGAATAGATCTAATGAAGTTAATTCAGCCAGAATGAAGATTAAGATTTGATTGAGCACAGTAACACGCGCGTATAGAAAAGAATGTTAATAGATCGTTTGATTTCAGGTAAATATGATAGTTGGTAAAATGGAAAATGTTCTTTTGAAATAAAGCTGTATATAGTCTACCAATTAAAATGTGTGTAGTTTGAAGCTTCATAAAAAAAAAGTTTTTTTCTTTCCTGTGGTTTGTGTTTTGTACACAACTCACAAAAAAAAAGAATCAGCATAATTACACCTATAGAGTTTTATGAAATTTCATCATCACGACACATACATTATTACACAACTTCTATAAGTTTTCATTATACATAGAGGATTGTAAATAATGAATAAATGGAGGTCCAAAATGGATGAGTTATCAGTGTGCATGACTAGTGTAGCGTAAGTGGGAGATGGCTTGTTAACAAAGCTGCCGTCAATGAAACACCACTCGGCCATCATATTGCAGACCTCATTCAAATAACATGATCTCCACTTTTTTTGTTGCTGATTTAATTGATTAATGTTGTCAAAAAAACAAAAATATCGTTCTCAGATAATACTTAGGGCATACCAAAAGTAACGGTATTTGCTGATAAAACTCTGCAAAGAAGAGTTAATCAAATTTTTGTTCCAGCATTTATTGAGGCTCATGGTCATGCTTATGTACGCACGATCAACTTGTTTCAAGACATTTGTTGAAAGATATTTTTGAATAATTTTTGATTAAAAAATTCATCATCTTAATTACAGCACTTAATAGAGTAATTAAGGGCCGCTCGATTGATTAAGTTTATCAATTAGATAGAGCTCTGGAAAACTATGTAGTACTTGACCCGTAGAATAAGGTGGGCATAAAATAATTATGATACGTTTTGATGAAGACAGTAAAAAAACATCTTTATATACATATGCTTGAACGTTGCTATGATGACTTTTGATGTCCTTAGCACTAGTTGATGATCTTTCCTTCTCACTTTGTTAATAAGTAGTTTTAGGGAATTATTGATATAATAGTGGTAATTAGAAAACGCGTCTCTTTTTATATCTGTTTTAGTTTGAAGAGTCTTTGATTAGTTGCATTAAGAAAACACACGAAACATACTTTTGGGGCCAGCCTGCTGCGTCAAACTGAAGCTGGCGGAGATTTTTCGCTTCCAATCCTTCTAGTTCAAAGCTATTGAGACCATCTGTGTGTGACAAAATCTAGAACTAGTCATCTACTACTACTTCATATATTTGCTATATTTCTTTAGTCAGTTATATCCAACAAACTCTGACCAATCAAAATTGTTCCTAACCGTTATATTGAGTGCTGTAACCAAGATGATGAATTTTTTAATCAAAGATTATTCAAAAATATCTTTCAACAAATGTCTTGAAACAAATTGATCGTGCGTACATAAGCATGACTATGAGTCTCAATAAATGCTGGAACAAAAATTTGATTAACTCTCCTTTGCAGAGTTTTATCAGCAAATATCGTTACTTTTTGTATGCCCTAAGTATTTGACATGTAGGTCAAATATAAGGGTGTGGGTGTGGGTGTGGGTGGGGGTGTGGGTGTGGGTGTGGGTG